TACTATTATTATTGTTATTATTATCATTATCATCTTTTATTTTTATTATTATCACCATTATTGTTAGCATTATTATTATTACTATTATTATTATTATCATCATATCATTAATATTATTTTTATGATAATGATGATGATGAAGATAGTGATGATGAAGATAATGATGATAATGATGATGATGATGATGATGGTGATGGTGATGATGATGATGATGAAGATGATAAAAATAAGAGTAATAATAATAATAATAATAATAATAATAATAATAATGATAATGGTAATAACAATAAGACTCGTAATAATGATAATAATAACAACAACAACAATAACGATAATAATAATTAAAACATAGTTATTATCATTATCATTGTTATCAGTGTTATTATCATTATTATTATGATTATTATCATCGACTTTATAATAACGATAATAATGATAATAATAACAAAAAGAAAAAGCCTTAACTTTATAATAACGATAATCAATATGAGGGCAAATAATGTATAGATATCAAATACAAATAAGCAAAAGCAGCTTCCTTACCCTTGACACAGCAGGAGCAATAGTCGTATTTGCAGAGCCCCGACAGAGCCAATTCGTCAGACTTGCATCTGGGGCTGCAGTATCCACCAGAGGAGTCACACTGCATGTTCAGATCTGGACACGGGTCTGTTTTGGCAGCAGAAATGGATTAGCTCTTTGTGCTGGCTGGTGATCTAAGGATATGCTGGTGATAGTAACTGCATTATTAATAATCATAATCTAAATATTAGCAAAGGGAATGTCAATAACTGTAATGATAATGATAATAGTAATCATCATCATCATCATCGTTATCATCATTACCATTATTGCCATTATTATTATTATTATTAGTATTATTGTTATTATTTTCATTATCATTACTATTACTATTATTATCATTATTATTATTATCATCATTATTGTTAGCATTATTATTATTACTATTATTATTATCATCATATCATTAATATTATTTTTATGATAATGATGATGATGAAGATAGTGATGATGAAGATAATGATGATAATGATGATGATGATGATGATGGTGATGATGGTGATGGTGATGATGATGATGATGAAGATGATAAAAATAAGAGTAATAATAATAATAATGATAATGGTAATAACAATAAGACTCGTAATAATGATAATAACAACAACAACAACAATAACGATAATAGTTATTATCATTATCATTGTTATCAGTTATTATCATTATTATTATGATTATTATCATCGACTTTATAATAACGATAATAATAATAATAATAACAACAAGAAGAAGAAAAAGCCTTAACTTTATAATAACGATAATCAATATGAGGGCAAATAATGTATAGATATCAAATACAAATAAGTAAAAGCAGCTTCCTTACCCTTGACACAGCAGGAGCAATAGTCGTATTTGCAGAGCCCCGACAGAGCCACTTCGTCAGACTTGCACCTGTCGTTGCAGTATCCACCAGTGGCGTTGCACTGCATGTTCAGATCTGGACATGGATCTGTGTCGGCAGAGAGGATGGGTTAGTTCTCTGTACTAGTGTCACAACATAGGGATAATAATGATAACAATAGTAATAACAATCTTTTCTTTTGCTATAGCTTTGCCAATCCTTATACGGTGTCGCTATATAATCTGTTTCTGGCAAATATCTTTCATGACCGGATGCCCTTCCTGACGCGATCCCTCTCTATTTACCCGGGCTTGGGACAGGGCAAATAATAATAATAATAGTAATAGCAATAATAAATGTTTGAATAATAATAATCATAATTATGATAAAAATGTTAATATCAACAGCAACAAAAATGCTAATAAAATAATATAATAATTCTGCGAATAATGATAATAATAACTTCTACCATTGCAATTATTATAAAAAGTCAAAGTTGGTCCTATACCTAAATGGACATAGAGAACAAATTCGTAGAAGAACATTCCTACTAAGCCTCGGGATGATGCGGTAGGATGGCCAGTTCCTTTCCGCCCAGACTTTGACCTCAACATGCTGACGTTGGCATGTTAGTACTCACTCACAGACGAGTTGACTGAGAGGGATGGCCGGGCGTGAAACCAAGACATTGTGATTGCACAGCCAGCGCTCTACCACTGAACTATGTCACGTCTGCTATTATCAATGTTATTAATATCATCAATATTATCATTCAGGAGAAAAGGAGAATATATTCATTAAAGATATAACCATAAAAATAATCATGATAATATTGATTATACTAACAATAACAGCAGCAATGGTAATAATATAAAAACAGTAGTAGCACCACTTGTGATAATGATGATTATATTAATAATCATCATAATAAAGAAAGCTATCAGCGGATACAATAGCAACGGCAATATAAAAATTAATGATTATGATGTAAATAATAATGATAATACTCGAAAAGTTTTCATGACAGGTTCTTGTGAATTTAGTCAAACTGTGACTGCTTCTATGTTAACCCCAGTGTACAAGAAGAATTGGAGTTACCATCCAATTACAGAGCGGGACTGGCCGAGAAAGCTGCAATTACACACCACAATGACAATTAAAATTATGGCAGAAATATATGGATATCAAAAATCAACAAACACATAGAACTATTATAACTTACTCTGAACACAACAGGAGCAGTTGTCATGACTGCAGAGCCCCCCAGAAGAGCTATCTCATCACAGTGGCACTCATGTTGACAATATCCACCAGTGGATCAGCTCCCGAAGTCATGGGGGCCAACAGACAGCTTGTAGCCAGCTCGATCATAGCCGGATTACACATTGAAGTCACCCACAACAATGCGAATGTCTCGCCTGGGACAATTTTCTGCCATGGATGTGAGTCTGGCATAGAATACTTCTTTCACATCGAGTTTGCAAACATCGATAGGAGTGCGCACAGCAATAAGAGACACGAAGCCAAAAGCATGCTTCAGTCTCACTGCTATAATACAATCATCACCCAGTGTTACCTCATCTACCGAGGGTTGAAGTTTGCTGGAGATGACGATGGCTATTCCCTGGAGATGATGACCATCGCCACAGCCCAACCAGTAGTTGGTGTACTCAATCTTACTGAACATGCCACTGCCAGGTCTTCTCACCTCAAAGAGGGTAACCACCACAACTCCCAACCACTCCAATTCCCTTGATAACAAATGTAACCACTCATCCTGCCGCAAGGGCCAGATGTTCAAAGTGCCTACCTGGATAGCTCACCTAAGGTCACTCCGATGGACACCACCTCTACCACCCCCGCCGACGCAGCCCTAAATAAAGGGGGCCGGCAGGTTGTTGGGCCAAACGTCTGCCTGTGGGGTTCCCTTTGGCTTTGCCACACAGGCCACATGCTGGGTTGGCGCCTGCCAGGGCGCAGGCGGGACGAGTAACTCTCCTTCCCATCCTGAGCCACAACATTTACCCGCCCAATGGGACCCACAGCTCCCTTTTTCCCTCTAGGCTAGCCAGCGGTGGCAGCTGCAAGTGAGAAGGTATGCAAGCATTTAACCCAACCAACACGGATTTATGTTCTGTCCCCTGTATTTTTTTGTGAATTTTGTTACATACGGAAGGTTCCACATGTGCTCAGCCGACAAGGAGTCTATCAGTAGGCCCTAGTGACCGATCCTGATTTCCCCATTCCTTGAATTGGCGAGAAAATGTTTTTCTTTGTAATACAATTGATATCGATACTAGTATTATTGTTATTGATGTTATGTTATAAAACTGTTATTAAAATATTGGTAACATTTAACACAATTAAATAATAAAAAATGGTAAATAGGTGAGATAGGTAGGATTAATAACTGACTCCTTGGTGACTGAGCATTTGAGCCATCTATGATAATCATGATAATAATTATTGTTATGATAATCATGATGATAATTATTATTATGATAATCATGATGATAATTATTATTATGATAATCATGATAATAATTATTATTATGATAATCATGATAATAATTATTATTATGATAATCATGATTATAATTATTATTATGATAATCATGATGATAATTATTATTATGGTAATCATGATATTAATAATAATAGTAACAACAGCAATGATAATAACAACAATAATAATGAGAAGGAGGATGAAAAATGATAATGATAACACTAATAATGATAATAACAACAATAATGATGATTATAAGGATGATGAAAAATGATAATAATAATAATAATGTTAATAATGATTATGATAAGGATAAGAACAACAAGAAAAAGAATGATGATAAAAGTAATAATGGCCATAATAATGTTATTACATTAATACCAATAATAGCTGCAATGATAACTGCAATAGTAATTAATGATGAAAAAATGTTTGCCATACATAAGCTGAACTGTGATATATATATATATATATATATATATATATATATATATATATATATATATATATATATATATGTATATATGTATATATATATATATATATATATATATATATATATATATATATATATATATATATATATACTATATATATATATATATATATATATATATATATGTGTGTGTGTGTGTCGTGTATATGTATATATATATATTTATTATTTATATATTTATTATATATATAATATAATATGTATTTATTATATATTTATATATATATAATATATATATATATATATATATATACTATATATATATATATATATATGTATATATATATATATGTATTATATATATATATATATATATATATATATATATATATATATATATATATATATAATATAATGCATTATAATATATATGTGTAGTGTGCATTATATATGTATGTATTATATATATATATATATATATTATATATATATATATACTATATAATATATATATAGTATATATACTATATATATATATATATATATGTATATATATATACATATATATATCTATATATATATATATTATATATAAATTATGATATATATAACATATGTATATGTATACTTATATATATATATATAATATATATATATATATATATATATATATATATATATATATATATATATATATATGTATATATATATATAGTATATATATATATATATACATATGTGTATATATGTGTGTGTGTGTGTGTGTCTGTGTCTGTGTGTGTGTGTGTGCATTATTTATAAACAATAAAACATTAAATATCTTACGACTATAACATACAAAAAAATAAACACAGACACATTACCCCTGATACAGCAGGAGCAGTTGTCGTATTTGCAGAGCCCCGACAGAGCCAATTCGTCAGACTTGCATCTGGGGCTGCAGTATCCACCAGAGGAGTCACACTGCATGTTCAGATCTGGACACGGGTCTGTTTTGGCAGCAGAAAGGGATTAGCTCTTTGTGCTGGCTGGTGATCTAAGGATATGCTGGTGATAGTAACCGCATTATTAATAATCATAATCTAAATATTAGCAAAGGTAATGTTAGTAATTGTAATGATAATGATAATAGCAATCATCATCATCATCATCATCGTTATCATCATTATCATTATCGCCATTATTATTAATATAATTAGTATTAGTATTAGTATTATTTTCATCATAATTATTATTATTATTATTATCATTATTGTTATTATTATTATTATTGTTATCATCATTATTGTTATCATTATTATTATTATTATTATCATTATCGTATCATTAATATTATTTTTATGATAATGATGATAAAGATAGTGATGATGAAGATAATGATGATGATGATGATGATGATAGTGATGGTTTATGATGATGATGATGACGAAGATGAAGATGATGAAAAATAATAATAATAATAATAATAATAACAATAATAATAATAATAATAATGGCAATAACAATAAGATTGGTAATAATGATAATAATAACAACAACAACAATAATGATAATAATAATCATAACATGTCTATTGTCATTATCATTATTATCAGTGTTATTATCATTATCATTATAATCATTATCATCAACTTTATAAGAACGATAATAATGATAATAATAACAAGAAGAAAAAGACTTTCTAACTTTATAATAACGATAATCAATATGAGGGCAAATAATTTATAAATATCAAATGCAAACAAGCAAAAGCAGCTTCCTTACCCTTATGTTTACCATACATAAGGTGAACTGTGATATATATATATATATATATATATATATATATATATATATATATATATATATATATATGTACATGTGTATATATATATATGTTTATGTATATATATATATATATATATATATATATATATATATATATATATATTTATTTATCTATATATTTATATATATACATATGTATTATATATACATATCATATATATATTATATAAATATATATATATATATATATATATATATATATATATATATATATATATATATATATTATATATATATATATATATATATATATATATATATATATATATATATATATATATATATATATATATGTATTATATATATATATATATATATATATATATATATATTATATATAAATTATGTATATATAAACATATGTATACGTATATTATATATATATATATATATATATATAATATATATATATATATATATATATATATATATATATATATATATATTTATAGTATATATATATATATATATATATATACATATGTGTATATATGTGTGTGTGTGTGTGTGTGTGTCTGTGTCTGTGTGTGTGTGCATTATTTATAAACAATAAAACATTAAATATCTTACGACTATAACATACAAAAAAATAAACACAGACACATTACCCCTGATACAGCAGGAGCAGTTGTCGTATTTGCAGAGCCCCGACAGAGCCAATTCGTCAGACTTGCATCTGGGGCTGCAGTATCCACCAGAGGAGTCACACTGCATGTTCAGATCTGGACACGGGTCTGTTTTGGCAGCAGAAATGGATTAGCTCTTTGTGCTGGCTGGTGATCTAAGGATATGCTGGTGATAGTAACCGCATTATTAATAATCATAATCTAAATATTAGCAAAGGTAATGTTAGTAATTGTAATGATAATGATAATAGCAATCATCATCATCATCATCGTTATCATCATTATCATTATCGCCATTATTATTAATATAATTAGTATTAGTATTATTATTATTTTCATTATAATTAGTATTATTATTATTATCATTATTGTTATTATTATTATTATTGTTATCATCATTATTGTTATCATTATTATTATTATTATTATTATCATTATCATATCATTAATATTATTTTTATGATAATGATAATAAAGATAGTGATGATGAAGATAATGATGATGATGATGATGATGATAGTGATGGTTTATGATGATGATGATGACGAAGATGAAGATGATGAAAAATAATAATAATAATAACAATAATAATAATAATAATAATAATAATAATGGCAATAACAATAAGATTGGTAATAATGATAATAATAACAACAACAACAATAATGATAATAATAATTATAACATGTCTATTGTCATTATCATTATTATCAGTGTTATTATCATTATCATTATAATCATTATCATCAACTTTATAAGAACGATAATAATGATAATAATAACAAGAAGAAAAAGCCTTTATAACTTTATAATAACGATAATCAATATGAGGGCAAATAATTCATAAATATCAAATGCAAACAAGCAAAAGCAGCTTCCTTACCCTTATGTTTACCATACATAAGGTGAACTGTGATATATATATATATATATATATATATATATATATATATATATATATATATATATATATGTACATGTGTATATATATATATGTTTATATATATATATATATATATATATATATATATATATATATATATATATTTATTTATCTATATATTTATATATATACATATGTATTATATATATACATATCATATATATATTATATAAATATATATATATATATATATATATATATATATATATATATATATATATATATATATATATATGTATTATATATATACATATGTATTATATATATACATATCATATATATATTATATATATATATATATATATATATATATATATATATATATATATGTATTATATATATATATATGTATTATATATATATGTATATATATATGTATATATTATATATAAATTATATACATATATATATATATATATATATATATATATATATATATATATATATATATATGTATATATGTATATGTGTATATATATATACATATATATAGTATATATATATATATATATATATATATATATATATATATATATATATATATATATGTATATATGTATATATGTGTATGTATATATTATATATATACATATATATAGTATACATATATATATATATATAATATATATATATATATATATATATATATATATATATATATGTATATATGTATATGTATATATTATATATATACATATATATATATATATATATATATATATATATATATATATATATATATATATATATATACATGTGTGCATATATGTGTGTGTGTGTGTGTGTGTATTATTGATAAACAATAAAACATTAAATATCTTACGACTATAACATACAAAAAAATAAACACAGACACATTACCCCTGATACAGCAGGAGCAGTTGTCGTATTTGCAGAGCCCCGACAGAGCCAATTCGTCAGACTTGCATCTGTGGCTGCAGTATCCACCAGAGGAGTTACACTGCATGTTCAGATCTGGACACGGGTCTGTTTTGGCAGCAGAAATGGATTAGCTCTCTGTGCTGGCTGGTGATCTAAGGATATGCTGGTGATAGTAACCGCATTAGTAATAATCATAATCTAAATATTAGCAAAGGGAATGTTAATAATTGTAATGATAATGATAATAGTAATCATCATCATCATCATCGTTATCATCATTATCATTATCGCCATTATTATTAATATTATTAGTATTATTAGTATTAGTATGATGATGATAATAATAATAATAATAGTATTAATATTAATAATAATAATAATAATAATAATAGTAAAAATAGTAATAATAATAATAATAATAATAATAATAATAATAATATTAATAATAATGATAATGGTAATAACAATAAGATTGGTAATAATGATAATAATAACAACAACAACAATAATGATAATAATAATTATAACATAACTATTATCATTATCATTCTTATCAGTGTTATTATCATTATCATTGTAATTATTATCATCAACTTTATAAGAACGATAATAATGATGATGATAAGAAGAAGAAGAAGAAAAAGCCTTAACTTTATAATAACGATAATCAATATGAGGGCAAATAATGTATAGATATCAAATACAAATAAGCAAAAGCAGCTTCCTTACCCTTGACACAGCAGGAGCAATAGTCGTATTTGCAGAGCCCCGACAGAGCCACTTCGTCAGACTTGCACCTGTCGTTGCAATATCCACCAGTGGCGTTGCACTGCATGCTCAGATCTGGACATGGATCTGTGTCGGCACAGATGTTACAAGTAAGAGATCTATTTCGACAGTGATCGATGTAATTCTGATCGAACAAATGGCAAAAATAATGATAATGGTAATGATGAAATAAAAAAGGTGATTTTTATAATAACTATGATGGCAACTAATGCACATATATCAAATTAAATAAACAAAAACATCTAGTTTACCCTTGACACAGCAGGAGCAGTTGTCGTATTTGCAGAGCCCCGACAGAGCCACTTCGTCAGACTTGCACCTGTCATTGCAATATCCACCAGTGGCGTTGCACTGCATGCTCAGGTCTGGACACGGATCTGTGTCGGCAGAGAGGATGATTAGTTCTCTGTGCCGATGTTGTCATAGCAACCATGATGACAGGGGTTATGGCAACAGTAATTATGGTAATTTTAATTTCATTGTGTCATTATCATTAATATTAATAACCATTAGTATCATTAATATCAATAACTATTAGTATCATTAATATTAATAACTATTAGTATCATTAATATTAATAACTATTAGTATCATTAATATTAATAACTATTAGTATCATTAATATTAATAACCATTAGTATCATTACTATTAATAACTATTATTATCATTAATATTAATAACTATTAGTATCATTAATATTAATAACCATTAGTATCATTAATATTAATAACTATTAGTATCATTAATATTAATAACCATTAGTATCATGAATATTAATAACTATTAGTATCATTAATATTAATAACTATTAGTATCATTAATATTAATAACTATTAGTATCATTAATATTAATAACTATTAGTATCATTAATATTAATAACTATTAGTATCATTAATATTGATAACTATTACCATCGTTGATACTAACAGCAATAGTAAAGATTTACATTGATGTTATTGATAATGATAATAATTATAATAATGAAATGAATGGTAGTGATAATAATGATAACAATAGTAGCGACAATCTATTTTTCTGTTTTTACTATGTCTTTGCCACATCCTTATACGGTGTCGCTATGTAATCTGGTTCTGGCAGATATTTTTGATGACCGGATGCCCTTCCTGACGCCATCCCTGGGACCAGGTAAATGATAATAATAATAATAATAATAATGATAATAATAATGATAATAATAATAATAATAATAATAATAATAGTAATAATAATAATAACAATAATGATAACAATGGTAATAATAATAATAATAATATCAATAATTATAGTATTAATAATCATAATAATAATGATAAAAAAACAGTAATATCAACAGCAGCAGCAATGGTAATAAAAATAACAATGATGATAATAATTCTGCGAATAATGATAACGATAACTTATATCATTGTTATTATTAGAAAATGTCAAAGACGGTCCCATTTCCAAGTGGACATAGGAAACATGTTCGTAGAAGAACATGCTTACTGAGCTCAACATGCTGACGTCGGCAGATGATTTGCCTGAGAGAGGTGGCCGGGCGTGTGATTGCACAGCCAGCGCCCTACCACTGAACTATGCCACCTCTGCTATTGTTAATATTTTTAATATTATCATTCAGGAGAAAAGGAAAAGATATTTATCAAAAATATAACCATAACAAAAACAATCATGATAATATTGATTATACTAACAACAGCAATGGTAATAATAATATAAAAACAGTAGGAGTACTACTTGTAATAATGATGATTATGATATTAATTATCATACCGAAGAAAGCTATCGGCGAAGACAATAGCAACGACACTGTAAACGTTAATGATTATGATGTAAATAATGATAATGATAATACTCGAAAGGTTTTGATAAGACGTTCTTGTGAATTTAGTAAAATTGCGACTGCCTGTTCATTAAGCTTCTATGTTAACCCCTGCGTGTAAGGAAGAGTCGGGGTTACCATTCAATTACAGAGCAGGACTGGCCGAGAACGCTACAGTTGCACACCAAATATCAACAAACAAATAGAACTATTGTAACTTACTCTGGACACAGCAGGAGCAGTTGTCATGAGTGCAGAGCCCCGGAAGAGCTATCTCGTCACAGTGACACTCATGGTGACAGTATCCACCAGTGGAATTACACTGCATGTTTACATCTGAACAAGGTTTTGGTGTGTCTGCAATGATGGATTAGACCCCTGTGATGAGTTATGTACTTGCAATAATAATTGTGGTAATGGTAAAAGGAATGGTAATAGTAATTGTAGGCGTGTTTCCTGAAGACACTTTCTGATGCACACCTGGTTTTAGGATTCACAGCACGACTGACTGACGTGCTTCCATTATGTAATTACCTGAGGTCATCACTACCGTCACTAACGGTAACTCAATTGTCAATAAACACTAGAAACTAGGTAAATAAATCAGCAACAAAAAGGAAAATGCCAATGATAATAGTAATAGTTGCGGTATTAACTATTATGATCTGGGAGTATTGATAATTCTGATATGATGCTATTACTGATGGTGATGATATTAGCTAGCATGAAGATCATCATTATGGTGATGATAACATAAACATCAATTTCAGCATCATCACCGTGATAACTATAAAAGATAATGGTGACGATGATAATGATAACAATGATAATAGTAATTATGATAATTATGGTAAATAATAATAATGCTAATAATAATAATAATAATAATGATGATAATAATAATAATAATAATAATAATAATAATAATAATAATAATAATAATAATGGTAATGGTAACAATGATGATAATAATAATAATGATAATGGTAACGACGATGATGATAATAATAATGCTGATTATAATCAACAATAACGATAATCATGATATTGAGGATAATAATAACAGATAATAATATTGATAATAGTAATGATCATGATGATAATGATATCCATAATAATAATGATAACCATATTAATGATGATAATGATAATGGCAATAATAATAATAATGACAAAAATAATAATGATGATACTAATGATAATGATGATAATAATAATAATAATGATAATAATAATAATAATAATAATAA